TGGGGGGCGAAGCTCCCCCAGCCAAAGGGGTCGAGGGCAGACCACTTTCTTTCCCCTTATCTTTTCTTCCCTTCCCTTTCCTTTTCTCTTTTTTTTCTCTTTCTTTCTTTTTCCTTCCCTTCCCTTTCTTTTCTTTTCCTTCCGTTACCTTTTTTTCTTTTTTTTTAGTCTTTTTATATGAGGTGTGCATGAGGCGCATGAGGCCTACGCCTCTAGCACGCCTCATGAAAAAAGCGCATGAGGCATACGCCTCAGAGGGGTCAACGCCTCTTGCATACGCCTTAGGGTGTTTTGGGAGCAGCTCGCCTAGAGGCGTGCTTTTAAAACACTGATTTGCACTTTACATATTTGTATTTGTATTCTTTCCAAACTGTGCCTTTATGTCAAATAAATAAGAGACAATGGACAGTTATATGCAAAAGTCTCCCTGAATAAGACTGTCAGAACCGAACACATGTTGATGGGTTGCAAAGAAGACCACCTACAGCACCAATGAGAAGAAATGATCTTACAAGTTTATGGATCTAGCACTGAACAGAATAGAATGGTAGAACAGAATTCATGCAATCGACCCCATATAGTTGGGGCAAGGCTTAGTTGAGTTAAGAACATAAATTTGAATGTCAAGAAAGAACCTACTTGGGAGAAAAGCAAGAAAACTCCATCAAAAATCACAGGATAAGGGCTTTCTGACTGACTTTATCTTCTTACATGACAGAAACGAAAACATAATGTGCTAATATTAAACATACCATCACGACGCACACAAATCTCAGGAATGTTTTTTACTTGACCACTGATGCTGTCATTGTAAACTCTAGTTTCAATGTCACCTTCAACAAAAACTGGAGAGCTGTAACAGAAATACCATACATCAGAAATCAAATAATAAACAACAAAGAAAAACAATTTTCAATATTGCATACTTCTTAACTAGTTTTTGAACAGAATATGCCCCAAGTTGTTCATTATGCACAGCAATTCGATGCCACTGAGCTGGTTTTGGCAAGTTGTCTGCTTTTACCATTCTCTGGTCATACATGCCCCCAGTTCCAACTGTAAAGATGGTCACAGTCTTTCCATTCCTCAAAATTTTTTGAACAGGAGCTTGTCCAAGTTTTCCACAAATAATTGCCTAAGATGATAATCAACAATGTTTGCACACAAAAAACATAGGATATCACCAACAAAGAAAATTTCAAGTATAGAAGCAATTTACATAGTCAGGAATGGAAATAAATACCTTGTGTACCCCTCTGAAATCCCAACCTCTTTTAGGATCCACACCTTGTGGTTCTAAATCCTGTTTATAAGGAATAAAATCATTATCCTCTAGGTCTGCATTGTTTTCTCCACCACCATCATCAAAGTTGCCACCTTTATCGAATGACATGATTGAGTGCCACATCTTCATATTCTTTTGCATGCCTAATTAACATTAATTCAATTAAGACAACAAAAAGAATACCAAATAACAGAATTTCTAGAACACCCACTGTTGAGCCTGGGTTCTATTGGGCCCAGAGATCGACAGCACCACCTGCATGGCCGTGTTAAGACATGGAAGCTAATCAATTTAACAACTCCCAACAATATCAAGTTTAAATGGTTTTTGAATGCAAATTTTCATCTTTGTAACCATTGGATACACTCAAAAACCAAAGTAGCAAAGTAGCTTGAACTTCAAGGTTATATCAGATAATGTAGCAAAAGGTGTTCCTGTGCACCAAGAGAGAAGAGGGAAGATACCAAGTGTAGACGGCGATATTGCGGGAGCTTTTACTCTTAAATAATTGACAAATCTGACAGAAATCAAGCTCATCTTTTCTTCTTTCAAAATCTACAAGAAAATAAAGAAATTATTATCTTCTAATGTTTATGAAGAAATAAGAAACACATAGGGGGGGGAGGAGGAGGAGGAGGAGGGGGAAAGAATAAGGGTTTTACTTCACATTTGAAAGAAACAAAAAGAGTTTTCAAAGCTAGCAAAGTAGCAATATGCTCAGCTTGTGGATCATACCATGCCCCATCCATCCTAATCTTCTACAAAAATCCACACCATAATCTTTCTAAGATTCTCCAATTAAATAGAACACAAAAGTTAGTTTAGTCCTACTTCACATTAAACTTACAGTCTTCTCTAAGTAGATTTCTTCCATCTTTCCATTCTATGCAACTCATCTCTGTACTTTGCATGGATAAATGACTAGCTAACTGGTATACATGGAGCCTTACACCTAAACACGGCCAGCCTTGTTTGAAGGGATATTCCCCAATATTGCTCATGGCTATCCAGGGATTGGGGGGATGAAGTGGATGCAAATGTATCTTCCTTCAACATTTTCTTGCATGAAGTGGCCATTCTCATTCTCAAACTCGGACCCAGCCACACCCTCACACTAGTCGGCTTGAGATTTTAGCGTTTTACCAAGTAATGATCAGCCTTGTTTACAAAAGAAAAAAGCCCACCCAGTTACTAGGCTAGACCTCCAAGTGTGGACTTTGGACAGATCAAACTGAGACAAAAAAAAAAGAAAAAAACTAGCCCTTAGATGGGAGTATTGGTAGTTGCAAAACCACTAAAAAAATCCTCCCTCCGTTCTTTCTCCCCTGTTTCATCCACCTCTGGCCTCTCTCTCTCTCTCTCTCTGGCCAGCTATTTGACTGACTAGTTTAGCCATTTTAAAATTAAAAAGAAGGAACAATATGAACCGCCAAACCATGAAAGTGGGTTGAACAATTCACTGTTTAACAAAATGGTCAACAGATCATTGACAAAGCCAAAGGTTTTTTAGCTTCTAACACTACTAGGTTTTAGGTAAAGCAGAAGCGATCTTGCTTCCATGTGGCCTATTGAATTGTCAAACTGTCTGGGTCAATATTGGTTTCAATGTTTTAAAGTAGTAAATAATTAAAATAAAATAACATGTAGTAGATAACCAAAAATAGAAAAATTAGCAGAAATTAGAAAATATTTATATTTGCAAGCTCTATAATAATAAAAACGTCAGGCTCAACTTCAAATATAAAACTTACAATCAAGGCATGATGCAATGGTTACTATCCATAAGCTTTAATTTCAAAATCCAAGTTTTTTTGTTTTTGAAAGAGAAGTTATCAAGTAACAATTGGTCACCAAATGAGGGAGTACTACCGGAAGTGGTGCCAATGACACAACCACCTCATGTTGATGACACCATGTTTGATAGCTTCGGCCATGAAGGAGAACCACAAGTTGATAGCACTGAGTATTTTATGAATGATGATCAACAACACGAATCAACTCCCACTGCAACGTGAAGGAGCAATATTGTGGAGTCCGATTATACCAGTTCATCCTCTCGGTGACAGAAGATGACAGGGACTGCAAGGATTGGTAAGAATTTGGATAGGATTACAGCTGCATTTGAGAGCACTGCTGCTCAAAGAGCTACTCTCCTTGCAAAAGAAGAGTCACAACTAGCTCCAAATATAAAAACTTACAATCAAACCATGATGCAATGATTACTATCCATAAGCTTTAATTTCAAAAACCAAGTTATCAAGTAACAAATCTTTTTTCTTTTTTTGTTTTTGAAAGAGAAGTTATCAAGTAACAGTTCACAAATCACAACCTTCAAACCACATCATATATCATTAGCCACAATATAAGTATAAAGTATGACGATCCATTAGTACATCACTTACAAATCAACTCCCAACTCAACTCAGCTTCAACCCTAGCTATTTGTAGTCGGTTTACACAAATCCTATCTCACCATTGTGAAGAGTCATGTTTTCTGTCAACTACATCACTCACAAATCATAATTTCAAAATTCACAGTTCATGTAAATTACATAACATTAATATATGCAATCAGTTCATCTCATTTGCAAAGGATAGAAATGAATCAAAGCAATTAACATCTCATTTGCACGGTTCACGTCATTGAAAGAAGATGCTTGTTAATTGCTTTGATTCATTTCTATCCTTTGCAAATGAGATGAACCGATTACATATATTAATGTTATGTAATTTATTTGAACTGTGAATTCTGAAATTGTGATTTGTGAGTGATGTATTAGACAAAAAACATGGCTCTTCACAATGACGAGGCAGGATTTGTGTAAACCAACTACAAATAGTTGGGGTTAAAGTTGAGTTGAGTTGGGAGTTGATTTGTAAGTGATGTACTGATGGCTCATCATACTTTATACTTATTTTGCAGCTGATGATACTTCATGTGGTTTGGAGGTTGTGATTTGTGAATTGTTACTTGATAACTTCTCTTTAACAAAAGTCAGAAGCCAGAATATTAATTCATTAGTTTTCTTTCTAACATTGAGTCTACGGCACCAGAGTCGGCAGTATATAATCCTATAAACTACCCAACCACTTTATTTGATTTTTGAGATCAGATACTAAGTTATCTACAGTACATGATATCAGAACTAATATAATGTTCTCAAGCACCAGGATACGAGTTCAAATAATTCAATCATAAAATTGCACTATGTATTTGTGGCTACTTAACCTCCAACTGTTGCAAAAATTAGCATTGCAGCCATTTCTACAGAAATTCCACTCAAACCTTCATTTCTGAACCAAGCAAAAGGATCCATTCTGTAGATATTACTTGAATAAATGTTATTGAATTTGTTTGAATCTGAACCCTTTATGGGCATGTAAAAACAATAGACTGTAGCCCATTAGCTACATCAAAAGGAACTATTCCTTTAGGTGTTCAGTATTTCTATTTCCATATACTAAAAGAACTTACTTTCATGTTCATGGAGCCTAAACAGAATCCACACCTTTAGGATTCATTTCTACTATAGAAGATCCCAATATAGACAAATGATGTATTTGTCTTTACTTTTCTTTTTTTGAAGCAAAGTTAACTTTTTATTGAAGAAGAAAAACCATGAGTACATGAGAGGATGTACTGAAGCCAAGAGTGGCTTGGCAGAATTACAAAGGCAAACAACTGTCACTAAACAAGAAATCTCTAGAGACCCCTGATTTTGCTAGGCTATCAGCAACAGAATTCTGCTCCCTAGGAATCTAGACCAGCTTCACATTCATAAAGACTAAGATATCCCTAGCTTCAGCTAAGAAGTGGGCTAGTCCCCAGTGCACTCCCTCTCCTGTAACCAAGCTATAGTATTTGCAGAATCCCCTTTAATGGCTAAAGAGGATAAACCTAGCCATTTGGCAAGGCGAATTCCTGTGAGTGCAGCCAGGACCTCTGCCTTTGTGGCATCTGCCCTCTGACCACTGTAAGCCCAGCAAATATTCCCCCTTTCCCCTTGGAATACACCTCCAATTCCTGCTTGACCTGTGGATCCTTGGGTTCTACCATCAAAGTTTAGAGTCATTTCTCCTTCTTCTTCTCTAAGAGACTATCTCATAGTCCACTCAGATCTTGGAGAGGAGTGTAGGATTTCTGGAACACCCAGCTGTAGCCAACTAGGTTTAGGAAGAAGCACCAAATCTTCCTAGTGACCGGGCAATGGAGAAGGATGTGATCAGTTGTCTCCCCATTGCCAAGGCAAAGAGGACAGACATGAGGGGAGATGCATAATCTGCCTTTAAACTTTTTCTGGATCAACTCGCAGGTGTTTATTCTCTTTAAATGGTCTTTACTTTTCTTTTCTTACATGTATTCAAAGGGGCGATCCATAAAAACAAAATGTATTCAAAGGGGTGCTATGCAGATAAAAAACTCAATGGCAAGCATCTTGACAAAATGTATATTCAGGCCATAGGAGTCAAGAGATTTCAGACAGATATAAGAATCCAAAGATGATGAAAACCATTTATTCTGAGAAGCTCGAAGCATTTATGGTCAGTGAATGCAAACAACAGTTTGGAATCGGAGAAGTAATCTTTCAGCTGTAATCATTCTGGATGACAGTGTTGCTTGGGACTTTGTGTTCATTCCTTTTGACAAGTCAGGATGGAACTCTGTGACAAGGTACGCCATGGAATGGATCTTTCTATACAGGCTAATTATGGTAAATCATACCAACTTCCAGAAAGTCAAGTATATTTGATATACTGAACTTGGAACATGGTTTAGTTAATTCATCCATTTTTCCTCCATTTCTACAAACTGGGCAATCCCAGATGTTAATTTGTCCTCCAAAGTCAAAATCATAGTTTTCTTGTTGTAGCTCCTTATATCCATACCTAACAGTGCTTCCAAAAATAGCTGATATTCTTGTTGCTAAATAGGTGTAAACAAGTCAATTCCCGGGACTCAGGACCATGCTAAAGTATAGGGCCTAAAGCCACTAGCCTCTTCATTGATCCTGTTCTCCTCGTCAGATTTATGTTTCTTCAATGTGTCACAATTCTATCTGCAGTAAGTTGTCACAAACGAAAGAGTAATGCCTGCAAACACTACAAGACTAGAGAAACAAGCAAAACTTCAACTAGAGAATGAACCAGTGTTAAAAATACAAATTCATATCCTATTAACAGCTCTAATTTGTACCATATGAATGTCCAATAACGTCTATGTCCCTTAATCCGATTATGCCAGAAAAACTGAGGCATAATAGAACCCAGTTAACATCTGAAACGATCTCTTAGCTTCACTCCAATACTGCATGTTCTTGGTGGTATAGTCAAGGAGCCTGTTCGACTACTTCCATCCTGTTCATTAACATTTTAATAACTTTCTTCTACCATGTTGCAGACTGGTTTCTTATGATCATAGAGACAGTATGAAGAAAACAAAGGGATCGATCGTTCTGAAAAGAAAATTCATCTGGGAGTCCAAAAACGATCATGTTGTTGAGGACAAAACGATAAGAAACAGAGGTTTCTTATTAACATTTTAATAACTTTCGTTCATGTTGTTAATGACAAAATACCGATCGACCTGAAAAGAAAATTCATCCTGAACATTAACAGGGAAGCAGGACAAAATACCGATCGATCTGAAACAAAAATCTGGGAGTCAAAACATGCTATTCGTCCCTTTTCTGATTCTCAAACAAAACATCTGGGAGTTCAAAAACGAAAATAACGATTGATCTGAAACACCAAGCTGCTGCGATTTCCACCGCTAGTAATAGATCGCCGCCGCTGGAACGATTCCCGCCACTCGTTCAGTGAGAGGATGAAGAAGAAGAATAGAAGACTAAAAATCGCAGTGAGAAGATGAAGGAGAAGGGTAGAAATCGCAGTGAACGAAAGGGAACAATCTGCTGTGAAAGAAATCGTACCTCAGTGTTCGCCAGGAGAAGCCGCCGCCGCTGGGAGAAGATTGTGCCAATGGGTCAAACCCGAGGCATTAGTGGTATTATAAAAACTTATTGGGGATAGTTTTGGTAGAAAAAAATGAAATAAGTATAAACAAAAAAAACTGCAAAATTGAGTTATAGCTGAGGGCAATTTTTGTGCCCTAATATCCATAAAAATAATATTTTTAATAAAATTTATAAAATAGATTAATTTTTTAAAAATAATATTAAATTAGGACAAAAATACTGTTCATTTTCTTCGCCATTCATTAGCGCTGCCGCCTCCGATAATGCTCTCCCTCCGCCCCAACGCCGCCACCTCCGCCTTGCAAACAAATTTCTCTCTCTCTGTTTTCTATTCTCTCCATCTCTCTGCAATGTAAGGCAATCTCCAATAGCTATGCCAGAGAAGTGGCCGGAAAACGGCAAAGTATCAAACGAACGACGTTGGATCTGTGGTTCTAGAGAGGGCCAGAGGAGGGAATTTTCGGCTATGGCCGACGATTCGGGGAGCTGCATTTCGTCAGAAGCTCTTGGACACGATGATGTGTGTGGTGTTTTGTGCCAACGACACGAGATGGATTCTGGTGTTGCATCGCCGCTATAGATGTAGAAACCGAAGCAGCAGGAGCAAGAGCAGTCGAAGTCGCAGTAGAAACCGGAATTGAAGAAGAATGGCGGATCAGGGAGGTTGTCGGAGCTTTTGAACTTGTCGCAGACGATGGGATTGGAGGATGAAGCGGAGGTTGAGACAAGGAGGAAGCTTGTGTCAAAAGGTTACAGTTTCAGGAGGGATCGCAGCAGAAGGAAGCGGCCATGGATGTTAGGAGGCTAGAAAAGGAAGATACCGAGGCGAGAGCGACGCTCGCTATGCTTGGAGCAATTCCTCCTCTTGTAGGAATGCTTGATTCCAGTGATCTCGATTTTCAGATCGCTTCGCTCTACGCTCTTCTCAATCTAGGGACCGGAAATGATACATATGATTCACTATGCTTTTCTTCGCAACAAATTCGATTCTCTGTTACCAACCTTCGATTTTTCCAAAATTTTATTGATCAAGTCTGTTTGATTTCCTTCTACTTTTTTCAAGATCTGTCTCTATTGCGTTTGTTTTAATCTATTCATGCTTCTTTGATATATATATACTTCACTGACAAATCGCATTCTCTGCTTATCCTTCGTTTGTAATGTTGTTTTTTCACCGGTAAGTGTTTCTTTTCGTGAATTCCACAGCACCATTTCTTTTCTTCAAAATTTGAATCATTCACTTTTCCTGCTCGTATTAGTTTTATCACATTTAAAGGGATTATAGCTGATAAGGGTAACTTTTAGGCCTTATCACCATTTCTTCAACTTTTGATAAAAAGGTGCTGGAGGTGGGCGAAGGTGGCAGCGTTGGGCAGAGGTGGAGGCGGAGGTGGGTGGAGTGTTGTTGGAGGTGGGAGGAGGCATTGCCGGAAGTTGCGGATGTGGGCGGTTTTGCAAAGTTGCGGATGAACAGTATTTTTGCCCATACTTAATATTATTTTTATAAATTTAACATATTTTATAAATTTTATTAAAAGTATTACTTTTATTGATAATAGGGCTCAAAGTTGCCTTTATCAACTATAATCTCAGAAAAAATGATTCCTTACTTTTGCAATAGTAAATTTCTTTAACGGTTTAATTAATTGATTAAGTATATCTCTTTTGGAAAATTGCCATTATTGTCAAATATTGATGGAAGGGCTGAAATATCTATTTTGCCCTTTAAATCAAATAGGAAGCTCCTCATCTTCCTCAATTTGGTCTTCACCCTCCAATTTTAGTACGCCATCATACCCGTATTCAGCCTCCTCTCGATGGCTTGTTCCCTCTCATCCTCTACGTCAAAATGAAGTTTGGACCTTCCATCCAAGTCTGCAACTAGATTGACAATGAAGAAAGAGAGAAGAGGGCCTAGTCTTTGCCACCCAGGTCCAATCACCCACCCACCTCCAATGTTCTGAGAAGAACCAATTTACGTTGCCTCCTCGAACCCTAACCCTCTAAACCGTCTTGTTAGTCAATAGCTTCATCTTCGTTGATTGTCGTCCGAGCACATACTTTTGCTCCTTCCTCAAGCCTTCTTTTTGCCTCCGAGAAATACCCATTGTTGCAGCAAGCCACATTTAGCGATTCGGTGAGTGGGTGGTGTGTAGTTAATTGGCTGAACTCAATCAAAACAAATCTCCTAGGACTAGGATGGTCAATCCCCTTTTCGTGTCCGACTCCAACTCAAGATCCAGGAACACTGCAGGGGAACTATCACCGACTCAAGATTCAGGTAGCTTTTACTATAGAAATTACACAAAAAAGCAAGAAAAAAGAAACTAGGTCTGCATTTGCTACTTCTACTAGGCCAGATCCGCTCAGGTCTGCATCTATTCAAAGCTCCTCCATAGCTGTCCACCTCGTCTCAGATCAAGGAACCCAAATTTGAGATATGAGACTTGCAGTAGTGGTGGTGATGAAATAGGAGAGAGAGAGTGAGTGAGTGAGGGGCAGGAGGTGGATGAAACAGGGGAGAAAGAATGAAGGGGAAGAAGGAGAGAAAGAGAGAGAGAGAGGGGCCAGAGGTGGAGGGGTTAAGGACCAAGCCAGCTCGATTTGCTGTTGCTGAAAGGAAGAAGTTGATGAAGAAGAAGAGGGAGAGGGATGAAGGGCAAAATTAGGTTTTAAAAAATATGTCACGTGTATACAAATTTTGACCGAACATTAACACATGCTAACTATAAGGGTAGAGTTACTCAATTGTTAGAAACAATAGGGGTAGCCTTAGACAATAGCCAAACAGTAAAGATATACTTAGTTAAGTAGCTAAACCATAAGGGTAGTTTAAAAAATTTATCCTTTTAAAATCACTTATTCAGATTTATTTCTCAAACACCAAAATAAAGCAATAAATGTTTAATGGTTTGATTTAGGCCCCAAAGGTCAACTAAAGGTGCTTTCTATGTAGAGTGAGGCGTGGAGTGTGCGGTAAGCTGGGAGTGAACCTGAACTTTCAACAAAAACAAACATGGAGAGAGCCAAAGAAGCTTGACAAAATCTTTACAACCGATGTCTTTTTGGCAAAGCGATTACAGATAAGGCTGCAACTTGGGTCGAGTTGGCCCAAACCCAACCATAACCCAACCCAACCTTTGGATTGATGCTCGGGTTAGGGTTAGGGTTAGGGTTGAAATTTATGAAACCAACTTTACTTTGGGTTGGGTTAGGGTTGACCCCTCAGGCAACCCGATCCAATCCAAACCTGACTCTATAGTACATATTATATATATGATATATCATACATTGATTTGTTTAGATGCATGATAGTTGTATAGCCCCACCTCATACAATCATTTATTTCTTTTCAGATAATTACTTCACTTAATCCTAATTGAAAATACCAAAACCTTAATAACATATTTTATGCTTTTTGCTAGTCATAGCTTGTTGCTCATAAAAGATTTATTATAAGTCATTATTCATAATAAACTATAGTCATTTCAAACACTTTTTTTTTCTGAATTTTGTACTAAAGAACCAATAAAAACATCAACAAACAAATATTAATAAAACATAAGATTAATATATGTAGTGAATGTTGAGTTAAGATCTGAGATTAAAAAGTTTTACGAGATTTTAAGTGATGGAAAGAAGGTTGTTGGGTTAGGGTTAAAGGAATTTGGTAAGGGTTATGGTTAGGGTTGAGTAGGTCGGGTTGAAGGTTGAGTTAAGTTAGGGTTGGGGGCTTAGAACTTAGGGTTGGCCTCAACCCAACCTAACTTGGCCCGACTTGCAGCCCTAATTACAAATAAGCAACTTAATGCTAAAGGGACCATCAATGTTGTTCGAATTCTATGGAGTAAATCCATGAAGTACGAAGTTGAATGGCTAATGAGTGATATGTTATGGATTTCTTTTAGGAAACCCTCAGACCTTGCTTGGGTTCTAGACAAGGAACCATGGATGGTCAAGGACTATCCTCCTACTCTTCATACAGTGGGAGCCAAATGTCATTCCTCGTGAACTGGTCTTTTCAGATATGGTTATAACTATTAAAGTTTTAGATGTCCCAATGGAAATTATGACCATTGCTTGGACGAGAAGATTGGCTAGAGAGGCTGGGACTGTCGAGCAAGTCTTGACAGGGGATGAAGAGGAAGACGAGGATTTACCATTTGGGGGTTGTTTCCTAAGGGCGAGGGTGAGGGTTGATACCTTTAGAAAGTTAGCAATTGGTATCAAAGAGATGACCCCGTTAGGTAAACCTCTTTGGTTCCCTTACCAATACAAATGATTACCTCTATTTTGCTATACGTGTGGGCTCTTAGGGGATGCGGAATCTAAATGTGCAAGTGTTACAGAGGCCCAAGCCTTGGATGAATTCACAACTACTCTAGCAACCCAAATAATGAGGGAGGAGAGTGGAAGAGGTACCTTTGGGCACTGGTTGGGAGCATCCATCACACCTAGTGAATTTAAGTTCACCAAGAAAGAAAAGATCGGAACAATTGGGAAGAATCGACTAGACAATGGCTAGTCAAGCTCCTCTTATGATAAGGTCACCATAAACAAGTTTGGCAAAGGCCTCGAGCCCCGAGGATTGCTGAAATTCAAAGGGGTTGCTAACCCTGTTGGGTCGAGTGCAGCTTCGACGATGTTTGAAATCCCGAGGGAGCAATTACCTTTCTCATGAAAGGACCCAACATCGAACCTTGTGAAGTCAGAACTATTCCCAATAATGGAAAACTTTCCTTGGTTAGACTTACAAAAATTGTAGATCAAACGAATAATGCTTTGCGGGAAAACAATGTTGACTATGGTAAACAGGAGAGTGTGATCAGAATTGCACAAAAGCTAGATTTAGGTAGGTTTGTGAAAGGAAAAATGGAAGTCCTTGAGACCGAGCCCTTTAAGCAAAGTTAAAAAAAAATGAAAGGTTCTAGAGTGAACATTATGGAACC